AAATTTGAAGGAAGCAATGAAAAAATCCGGTTTTAATTTGGAATCGGATTCAATTGAGAAAAGCATAAAGGAAATAACTGACAATTATGGTTGTGATAAAATTCATCGAATATGGGCTAGAAAAGTTCCAATGGTTAAGGCTTATTAATTTTTAATTTTAGAATAATTCGAAAAATGAGATACAGTACATTGTTAAATAATTCATTTATCAGAGTTAAGTTTTATTTAAAAATTTTAATTTATTGCTTTATTAAGGCACATTAAAAACATTATGTTATTTCATTCTTGACGCGTTAATTTTTTAAAAATATGATTCACGTGGCCAATGTACACGACTGTTAAATAAAAGTTCTTTTATAAAAATAAAAACTTGATTTGAAAATGTATCAAAATGTTTAAAGGCAACGTTCAGAAGCCAAAGCTAACTAAATTTAGAAACCTTACCTTTCATTGAGTTCCCTCGAATTTTCCAATTGAAGTTCTTGACCATTGTTCATGTGCCCTGTTATCATATGATCTTACGCCGTTTTGGTCACACCCTATGATCAAAATATTCGGACATTCATTTTAATATATGACTGTGCCCCATGAAAATTTTAAATCTCGCGAACTTTATTTAAAATTTCAGAGAAACCACTGAATAGTTCCGTTTAAGACTCGTCGAAATAAATAAATAAACGCGAAACCATAGGATAAAATTAAATATAAATTTGAAAAGAGTTTAAACATCATTTTGGTATATGAATATTGTTAGAACGATTCAATAGTACTCGGGTACTAATGAAAGATGAGACAGTTTTTTTCAAAACAAATAATACACAATAATGGAAGAATGTAACACGAAGGTTCGAAACCTTCCGATAGAAACCTTCCGATTAATTCCGTTATCATCCTAAAACACTTTCCTTTTTTCTTTTTCGATTGTTGAATTAATGGAGTTTCCTGGAAAATTTTATGAGTATTCCTTTGTAACAATCAAAATAAAGCAAGTTGATTCGGTATTTCCAATAATAAAATGATTGGTTTTACCAATTTAACGTGGTAATGTTTGGTAACGTGTAGGAAATTTTCCGCGTTCCATGATCACTTCAAATTAGCGACGGGGACAATAAGCGATCATATGATGATGATGCATCATCCCTTTGAAAGAGTTCAAATTCGAACCCATTTTGCTTTGATGATGAGAATTTTAGGAAACGTATCAAAGAAGTCGAATTAACTTTTTAAAGATATTATTCATGTTAATTAAAAATTCCGCATTTGTAATGTTCTGTTTGATCATTCAGATTTCTTTAATTCTTTAAAGAACCATTCAATTTCCATTTTAAGGGAAATAATGAAAAAAACATGAATAATTCAAATGCGTTTGGAGTGGTTTTTGTTCCTTTTTTTTTTTGTCTTGGCTCATGTATATATAAAAGTCACCTCTCTCTCTCTCTCTGGCTCTTCGAAAGCATAAAAAAATTCAAAAATTTCAAAATATAAAATGGGAATTATTATTTGTAAACCGAGGATTTATAAAACCAAATCGAATGAGGAAAGTAAGGAATCATTAATTGAACCAAATGCCGAGCCAATTGTGACAAATTATTCATTTCCTAAAAATGACGATGAAATTGATAGAATTCATTATCAGCATTACATCTATAAAGAATTATGGGGAGGGAATTTTTCGGCACCCGTTAATAAATTATTGGAAAGCAGTACAATAGTGTTAGATGTAGGGTAAATTTCTCGACATTTCCTTAAATTTCTTTATAGGGTGGAAAGTGTCCTTTGCTTCAATAACTCGATTTCTCCTTTAATAGTTGCGGACCTGGAACTTGGACAATGGAAATGGGCCAATTATTTCCTGAAGCCCGATTTGTTGGAATCGATTTTATACCAACTTACCCTTCAGAAATAAAACCACCCAATGTTTCATTTGAGAAACATGATATACTTGAAGGTTTTCCATACAAAGATAATACATTTGACTACGTTCACATGAGATTTATGATGTTTGCGTTTACCCCTGAGAATTGGAGAACCGTCATTGAAGAACTTATCAGAGTATGCAAACCAAATGGTTGGATTGAATTAATGGAAGGTTGGTATCTTGTGAGTGCGGTGGTATGTACGTAAATGAGATGTTGATTTTTTTTTTTTTTTAAAAAAAAAATAGAGGATTTAGAATTTCACGGCGCGGGTCAGAAAACGAGCCAACTTAGTAAAGCCAGTTAAGCGATAAAAGAATCTCTTTACATGAAGCATCGCCTATAAATTTTCTGTCAAAATTAATTTCGAATTAACTTTATCTTTTAGTTGTCGAAGAGATGAAGAAGCGAGGGATAGAGATCGTCATCACTTCGCAAATATCCAATCTTTTGGAAAGCCTCAACCCCAACTCGGAGATTAATAAACCAAGTAAAAAGTCAAAATTAGGTAATTGGGGCGATAAAGTAGGCATGATGCAATTAAAAAATCTAAAATGGGGTGCGAAAAATTTGGCTAACGCTGTGAGATCGAATCAATTGTTTAAAAATAATGATGGTGAGGATGATGATTCAATGTATAATAAGATGGTGGATGAATTTTTCGAGGAATGCGAGAAGGGGGAAACTTATGTCATAAGCCATAGATTTTACATGTTAAAGCACGATGTTCATGTTTCATAGTAGGAAAGAATGGTTAGATTTTAATATTTTATCCGTGAAATAATAATTAATTAATTTCCTTCTCCGAATATACTACCCACCCCTAAATAGATTATAATAATTTACTGTACAATTATTTTTTTATGTTTTAATAATTCTTAATAAATATTTAGACTTGCATATATTAATTTAGTGGTCAATCTGAGGTTAGTGACACGTAAAAAATTAAATCCCGACTTTTTTTTTTTTTTTAAGAATTTGTGGTGACAAATGAACAAAGAAATACTATTTTTTTTTTTTATTTTTAATTTTTAATTTTTTTATATATACTATTTCTCTGTCAAACGATAGTTACAAAAAGTATCAGAGAAGGAAGAATTTATAAAGGAAAGAATATATAAAAGAAAGAATTTATAAAAGGAATGTATAAGGGTAGGAATATATATAGGAAGGAATGTATAAAGGAAGGAATATATTTTGTGCAAGGTTCATTTGTGTTTCTCTATGATATGTATTTCGGTTATTTACAATATATATATAAGAAAAATGCTATGTATAAATGCATAAATGTATAAATGTATAAATGTATAAATGTGCTTGTATAATGAAAATTTAAGAAAGTGTGTCTATATGAAAATAATAAATGAATTCTATGTAAATGTATGAAAATATGAGAAAGAGTGTAAGTGTCTATCTATATGAAACAAGTTAAAAAAAAAAAAAAATTTACAAATTAATATAAATTAATTGAAGCGAATGCGTCATCCAAAGAGAAAAACTCTCAACAATTCTTGATCCAGTATCTATGAATCTTATCATAGCTTTTGCGTTCTTGCAATTGCTTTAAACAAATGTCAATCGTTTCGTCCCATTCATCTTCGCTGAATCCGACATCAGTCATCACTGTTTTCAAATTTTTGGCTCCCCAGGAGTATAATTCTCTGTACAATGTGCCCAATTTTCCTCCCCACTCGCCAAAGGGAATGATTTTTACCTCATGTTTTACTTCAGTATATTGTGATAGGATTTTATGTAAGATTGGTGTGATCACCACCTCAATATTTTTCTGTTCTCTTAATTCATCCGCCACTAAGAAGAAAAGGGAAAGAAAGGAATGAGCGGTTAGAAAAGTTCATTCGCATAAAAAAAAATAAAAAAAAATAAATCAACTATATGATACTTACTAACTGTGCGAGCGGACTTGCAAAATGGACCTTCATTATACCAAAAGATGTCTTTTTCCATCATTTCAATAAAACCATCAGGTTTACAGACTCTAATCAATTCTTTTATAGCAACCTCCCAATTTTTCAAGGTGAACGCGAAAAGCATGAAACGCATATACACGAAATCAAATGTATTATCATCAAAAGGTAGACCTTCAAGAACATTTGCTTGAACGAATGAAACATTTTTTGGCTTGATCTCTAATGGATAGAGTTCCGCAACATCGATCCCTGTAAAATGGGCATTTTGATACTCGGATGCCATGTCTAATATCCAGGTTCCAGGTCCACAACTGTATGATTGAAAGAGAAAATGAAGGTTAATTACATATCTAATGATGGGAAAATCTTTTTTTTTTAAAAAAAAAAAAAAAAAAAAAATGTTCTACATACCCAATATCTAAAACTTTGGTGGACTCATCTTGTAACATTTGTTCAACGGGAGCAGAAAAATTTCCGTCCCATACATGCTTATACATAAAATGTTGCGTTTGACTCCTATCGGACTCGTCCTCATCGACAGGATATACGTAATTCAATTTTTCAGAAAATTTACAAAATTTTCTATCCCCGACATAATGAAATGAGTCATCGGATGATGTGATGGTATTTTGTGAAGTAGTGGTTTCAGAAGATGATGATGAAACGGTTGATAAAGATGACATTGAATGTGATGATAATTGTTGACGATGCTTTTTCTTTGATTTGAATACGCTTAAGGAGTGAGATTTGGAATTTACTTTTCCCATTTTTGATGATGATGATGGTGATGATTTTTTTTTGAATGTTTTTAAGGAATTCTCTTTTTTTTTTTAAAAAAAAGAAAAAAATAAATTTAACCTTTTAAAATAAATGATTGTGATAATATAATAAATATTATTCGATCAACGAAAAAAAAGTGGTAATATAAAATTGATAAGGTTAAAATTTTTTTTTTCTTTTTTAAAAAAAAAAAAAATCTTCCCTCTCTTTATCAAAAAGAAAGTTTTTTTTTCTTTAAGTAATTTTTGGTTTTCAATATTTTTTCGTTTTCACAAAAAATTTCCATTGCTTTTATAATCAGTTTTTTACTTTATCACATGTATTATTATTATTCATAATGTTAATAATTGTTTTATTTAAGGAAAAAAGAAGTTTAAACAAAGAAAGACATTACATGGTGACACAGAAATGAAAAAATAGCAAGATTAGTGGAATGATCTTTTTTAATTTAAAAAAAAAATTCAAAAAATTCGTTGCTTAAGTGGTTACGCAAGAACGTATATGGTTAATACATTATAAAATCACTAAGGAACAAAGAGATGTATCACCAGTGACGCTAGTTTCTGAAGCCTGTTTTCTTAATTAGGAAGATAACTTTCTATAAAATTTATTTCTCTTATGTGAACACAACATTTTAAAAACAAAGAGATGTGACACGGGTTAGGTTGGTGATGAGCTGTGCAGGCCACATGGTTAACAAATTATCTAAGCTGGTCGGGTAAACCAAAGATGCCATTTTCAAAATAAATTGTTGAATTGTAATTAAAAGTGTAAGATCTCGTGTAATAAAGAAACTCACGTAGAGAAACAAATCCTTTTAAAAATTGAATGGGGATTGCCCCCAAATACATCTTTAATAGTTTCAAAATTGGGACAAAAGATTCGGAGCATTCTCGTTTAGAAATTTGATTCCGAAAATGGTAATATTGTCAAAAAAATATAACAGCCTATTTGGATGTGCATCATGCATAAAGTACTCCTTGAAATCATTTCTTTTTAAGCGAAAAAAAAAACCCCCCAACTTAAACATCTTTAAGCCGTTGAGCCATCTAATTCATCGAAAACATATTTATTGAAAAATATTTTATCAGAAAGAATAATTAATTAATTAATTAACTGTATGAAACTCCCTTTAGAAAAAAGTTATCTTGAGGTCCTAATTAAGAATAAATTGTGGCAATCACAAAAAAACAATAAATTTTTAAGCGCTCGTGGTTTATTTAGTTCATAAATAAAAATTAAATAAATAAAAAAAGGATGTACATAAATGTTTTTTATTTAGTCAATTCACCAAAAGTTTTTTAACCCCATGATTGTTATCTATAGATGGCGAATGCTTGAATTAATCTTTAATTTTTTTTTTAAAAAAAAAAGATAGTAAGAATTCGAAAAATGCCATCGATGAATTAAAACGTGCCATTTCATTCACTTCCTAATTATCATAGATTTTGTCGCGGTGAATTATAGTTGACCATAAAAGAAAATATTTCTAAGAATTTTCTTGATGTAATCATCACCTTCAACTAATAATAATATACCACATGTGTATTATTTATGTAATGCATAAATTAAAAATTAGACCAAAAAAAAAAAAAAATTTGCGGAAATAAATATGCTGGTGTAAATTTCTCAAGCACAAAATAAATGTTGAATGTGAAATTATTTGTAACATCAAAAGAAATTCAGGATCATAGGTGGTTCTTTACAAAAATACTTGCATACCAAGCAAGTCACAAACATTTCGACTATCTATTTATGAAGAACAGTCTTTCCTTTGATCCAATATTATAAGTTAATTTGTTGATTTCTAGATTTCTTTGACAATACGGCCGAGCTTTACATAATGGTTTATTTGTTTTTTTTGTATTAAAATGGTCATACCCACCCAATCGTCTGCCTTTTAAAATAAAACGTTAATTTTTCGCAATGTAAACCACTTACCCCACCTTAAACAACAATGACAAGACCTACAAAGAAATGGCTCGAATTAATAATCCAATCAAAGTTTAATTTTCGACAAAAAACTGTAAGTCTTTGTTCCATTATCAAAAGCTTATTTTCATTAAAGTTGATCGAATAAAGAAAACATTACGTTACGTGCTGCGCTAATTTACGAAATTGCCTTTTCTAGTTTGTTTGTTACAACAATAATAATAATAATGGTACAATTTATTATTTATGACTTCCTTACAATATAAATTAAGATAATATACAGCTTCGAGAGCTATTTCATTGAGAATAAATTGTCTAATGTAGTGGTTGTACTTTTTTTTTTTCTTTTTTTTTTCTTTTTGTGTTATTTTCATACACAGTATATAATATATAATTGTTTTATTGAATATGAATAATCGCGTGTAGATTTCTTTATAATATGGTATAATCATCCCCTGAGTTAAACAAAGTACGCTTCTTATCTTTTGCTTTGTATTCATTTTTTCACGTGGAGATTAAATGACAATTACCTTTGACTATTATTTACCCGAAAATAGTAATGTCAAATCATAGCAATGTAATTCCCTTTATCGTTGAAGCTATTTCAATCTACGAGGGCATTTTCATTTTTCTTCTTTCCCGAATCATTATATTTATAATTATATTTATAGAATGTACGCTTTTAATAGAATCCATATCAGTAAATTTTTTTTTTCTTTTACATTTATAGTTTTTATTTATTGCTAAATTGAGCCATCAAAGAAAAAAAACGTGATTCACAAATTAAAGTTATTCTTATCTAAACAAATAAAGTAACCTAAAGTAGCACAACGCACAATATTTGGTGTTACTTTCTTAATTCGTCGAACACATATTTTTAATCACTATAATCATAAAAAAAAGTCGCGGAGCTTTTTTTTTTTTTTTTTTTTTTGAGCAATAATATGATTGTAATAATAATAGTAATAATAAATTTTAATCAATGAGTTCGTCTTTTTTTAACAATCATGACGAAATATTTATACTTGGTAATATTCATGTAAAAACTTAAAAAAAAAATTTTTTTATTTTATTACTTGAAACAGGAAACAAGCGAAAAAACTCGATTCTTGGTTAATTCCGATTATGGCTATTTCATATCGATTATAATTCAATACCAAGTAATTGTATCATTCGGATATTAACAACATGATCATCCATTATCCTTAAATTCTTGAACAACACGATCAGGTGGTCTATCAAAGCACAAAGTTTGGTCATAAAGGAAATCATCAATTATCTTGAAGAGAGTTGTTTGCCTAAATGATTTGGATGTTGCGCCACAATTTGTCTGTGTAATTGTTAAGTTTACAAGAATAATTTAATAAGTTCAATGTCAGGAATTCAGAAACAATTAAATTATTCACAATAAATGCCGCTCTAATTAAAGTAAATCAATCAAATTAATCTTAAATGCAAGGTATTTTTTTTAAATCCGAGCTTTCATTTTGAAAAATTCTTAATCCCGCACAACAATAAGTCGTCGAATCATATTTATTAAGGTAATGATTCGTTAAAACCTGAAGACAAGCTTTTTCGCTTTAATCGTAGTTTAGATCGCGATTTGTAAATTAAATTGAACCAACCAACAGTTATAACAGTTCTAACGTAATATTCAAATTAGTAAAAACGCCGCCTTCCGCAAGACTCACCTTAGGTCCTGAAGGGAGAAAAAATGTACCTAAAAAAAATAAAAAAACAAAACTAAAATTATTGAAAAAAAGAACCTTGACAATCTATAAAGAGAGATTGCAGATTCCCTAAATTTTCGATATTTTGTTTGAATATTTATTTAAAACTTTCGAATATTTTGAAGTTTGAATTTCAAACGGAAACCAGTTAATTAATTTAATGAAAAAAGCATTTCGTATTAAAAATATAATCTTCAACGCCTACAATATTTTCCACGTGACTCCTAGTGATTCAGTTTAATCCTTTAAACAAAAGGTTATGATTAGAGTTTATTTCGTAATATCTTTTCGATAAACTTTCTGTGCATTGTCTTCATTCAGAAAATCTCGATTTTTCTGTTCGCGTAAATGAATTGATGATCCGCAGATTGAATTGTAACTTCCCATTGTGACACAGTATATAATTTATTTGATTAAATTTAAGTGATACAATTAAATTGTAGCAAATTAATATAATTTAAGCGTTACATTATGTTGAACTTTTTGCATCATGTGAAGGAATATTAGCCTTCCCTTGGAACACTTTAAATGGAAGGTTTTTATAGTTTAACTAGCACTTCCCTATTGCATTAGTTTTCAATCTCTACTTGAGGAAATAAGATTAGTACGAACTGCTAATGATGAAGAGCAATATTAATGATAATTCAGTCAGATATTCTGCTTTTTGAAGTTCAGAAGATAACATACTTTGTATACCATTGGCAAATCATTAAGAATTACCAATGATGAAATGATTGGTCGATTCAACTTGTTGAAAACATAGGCGTCGATTCATTATATTTGAGTAGTAAGGTCATTTTAATTAAGATTGAATCATTATAGAGTGAGAGGTAACGTTTTGTACAAAAAAAAAACCACCATTATTAATTTACTTTTTTAGTAAATTAGCTCCGAATGGAAATATTTAAAATCTGTATGTATTGATATGGTAAACTTTATGCACAAATCAATATCAAATATATAAACAAATTTTAATATTAACAACTTTTTATATTCACATATTTAAAATGTTATTTTTTTATGACAAAAATAATAGAATATTAATTTTTATCAAATATCGCCCGAAATTTAACCAGATTTATGATATTTAAATTCATAATAACTGTTTGATTGTCTAAGATTATTTCGGCCATTGGTTCATAATTAGCTAATGGATATGATTCATGTTTGTCGGGAATCTCAATGTGATATAAAATATATATATGAACGACATTGGTGATATAAACATGTGACAAAAATTTATTTAAATGGATTTTAATCCCAAACATTAACCTAACTCTTTAACATTATTCTTTAACAGTTACTTGTAATTTCCATTTTTTTTCATTAATGTGCGGTAGCTAGAGGTTAAGCCGTGGGCATGCCTTCAGTAGATGTTTGTTCACAACTGTGAGGTTACCTCTTTAAGTCTCTGACACCCTCATAGGAGCATCCCATCTAGAAGAACATTCCCATACAGTTGCCACCTAGATTTAGACACCTGAAATAGCTAATGCCAACCATTAACTCAGGTGATTTTCGTCTTTATTTATTGTTTTTCAGATGTTTTCTTACACGTATTATTATTATTTTTTTTTTGCACCCTTAAAATTTTCTGAATCTTCATATATTGTATAAACGACCATCCAAAATTGAATAGGTCTATTGCTTAAATTATTTTTCTTATTTTTAGAATTAACATTTGAAGATAATTATTTTTCTATTCATTCTTAAAAAAGATTATTAGCATTTCGGTCGGTCAAAGTTTTCGGTCTCATTTAAATCATCGATCTTTTCTATTTTTTTAATGCCTTATGATTGTCCGGAACACCGGCAAAAATGTCCGGGTGCCAAAATGTCGGAAGTTAATCCTCAAAGCGAATTAAAAGTTCTTAAATTGTTAGAAATAAATTAGTAATGATGAAAGTATTTAATTACTCTAAATTTTGTTGATACCAAAAAAATAAAAACTTTACATACCTTCGGACAGTGTTGTTGGGATTTAATGTGGGACAGTTCTCAAAATGCTTTGGGACATAGATCACTGCCTCAGATATTGTAATACCTGTGGGCGTCAATTATGGTTACACAACCATGTAGTATTTCTGTGCTTGTTTGCAGCTTTTTTTTCTTGTAAAATTTGTCAATGACTGAAATTGATTCCACCGCTTGTTTTAATTGGTTAGAAAAGGCAATATCAGAGGATTATATCAAATATTATGACTATGCAAAATTTACTAATAGGAAAGAAATTAGCTGTGGTTCTTATGGAAATGTTTCTTCCGCAAACTGGTTAGATTCCGATACCGTTATGGTTCTAAAATATTCATTCAATCTTGTTAAAGAAATTGTTAATGAGGTAAAACTATAATATGTATATATATTATACTTTTTTTTTTTTTACTTTTATTAATTTATATTTTTAAAATATAATAGATAAAAATGCAACGTGAAGTTGATTATCATGAGAATATTATAAAGTTTTATGGGTTATCAAAATTAGAAACGGATTCAGTCAATAATGTAAATAAGTACTTGTTGGTTATGGAATATGCTGATGGTGGAACATTACAGTCTTATTTGGAAAACCATTTTGATAAACTAGAATGGAGCGATAAATATCGGTTGGCCGCTCAACTTGCAAAAGCTGTAGCATGTATGCATAATGAAGGAATTATTCATTGCGATTTGGTAATATCACGAGCAATTAAAATATCTTTGCTTTAATTTATTTTGTTTGTTTATTCAAACTAAATTATGTTCTTTATTTTATATAGCACGCTAAAAATGTCCTCGTACATCAAAAAAATATAAAGTTGGCAGATTTTGGCTTATCCCGAAAAATAACTGATGCATCTATTCATTCAACAGATGTGCTCGGCGTAGTTCCTTATGTTGATCCAAAATATTTGAATAATGTTAAAAATAAAAATAAAAAACAGCATTATATATTAAATTAAAAATCTGATGTTTATAGTGTTGGCGTCCTTCTTTGGCAAGTCTCAAGTGGACACAGACCTTTTGAACTTGAAAATGAAAATTATGATGTACATTTAATTATAGATATTAAAAAAGGCTGAAGAGAAAAAATTGTCAAGGAAACTCCTATTGAATATAGTGATTTGTATGAAGGTAAAGCATAACTTATCATTTATTCATTTATGTTTGGCTTATTATTAAGTTTTATATAATTTTTATTAGCATGTTGGAAGGATGATCCACACCCTTCGATGCAAAAGGTTGTTAATTCGCTCGAAGCAATGATTTCTGGGAATGATCATGATGTAATTCAACCTAATATTCACGCGGAAAATATAATGGAATTATTGCAGAATGATTTTTCTTCTTATTCAACATGTATGTGTAGCAATAATTCAGACCTTTGTATAGTCAATTAATGCAAAATTTAGAATCAGAAGAAAACGAATGCGATTCACATATATCTGATCAAGCAGAAAAATTATTTGCAAAATTCGTTAAAAAGGACGATAATATAGATATTTTCATTGATAAGTTAATAGTATTCTTAACTCAAGTACAAGATGAAGAAAATAATTTTAATGAAACCAAACACTTTATTAATCAATTTCTATCCCTTTCAAAACGATGTGCTATTGATTTTTTTTGATTGGCTTGAAGTTCAAGTGGACTCAAAATATATTTTTCTTTTGGGGTTTTTATATTATAATGACTTCACTTATAATGTAAATGATAATGAAATTTTTAAATTGTTTTTAAGAGCTTCACAAAGTAATTATCCATTGCACAAGTATATCTTGCAAAATGTTATAAAGAAGGATACGGGACTGAGATAGATAATAATTTAGCATTTAATTGGATACAAAAAGCTGTGAAGAATAAAGTATTTGTAGGCAGCTTTATCTTGGTATTTTTTACGAAAGGGTATAGGAACCAACACAGACTTAAGCAAGGCGTTTTATTGGTATCAAGAGGCAGCTAATAATGGAAATTTAAACAGACTATATAAATTTAGGTGGATGTTATGAATTGGGAAAGGGAATAGAAAAATGTAAGATTAAAGCATTTGAAATATATCTAAAATTATCTGAAAAAGAATATATAGGTGGAAAATACAGACTTAGTATTTGTTATTATTATGGGATAGGAACTGTTATAAATAAAATAATGGCATTTAAAATATGCACAGCATTTTTTAGGTTATTTATATGAAGTACACTAGTCGAAATAGTCCAAATCGGCTAAAAATTGGATGGCCGATTTTAGGCTGATTTTGATACTATTTACGACCGATTTTCCATATTTTCTGATCGGCACAAACAGGTGCCAATCGACGCCGATCGCTTAAATCAATACAAGATTCAGAAACAATTTATCGATGCATTAGATCAAAACACACTTAAGTAAATCGGAAACAATACTTTCATTATGCATTAAATCAATACAAGATTCAGAAATATTAAATCAAAACAATTTAACAAAAATAGTTATAAACATTACAATTATTTTAAAAAGAAAATTTGTTTAATTGTTTATACTTACTAAAAAAGGAAAACAATAGTTTAGTATAATAATATAAATATTGCGAAACTACTGCATTTTTTTAAAAAAATATAAAATTCAACTAAAATCATCCTTAAAAATAATTCCATTTTGAACTTTTATTTTTCTTTTAATTTCTCAATTATAAAATAAAAATGAACTGAAAAAGGTTGATTTATAAAATACGTAGTGATGATGATAATTCATCTATAAATAATTTTACTTATATTTACTTCATTTTTATTTAATTAAATCCTTCTATTTATGACAAAAATTTATTTAATAATATTAATTAATCAGTTTACCTTAATATCAGTAATTCTATATATTTGTAATATTAATATTAAACTGAATAAATACTAATTACTAATAATTTTAAATAATTAGAATTTTGCAAACAAAAAATAAATATATAAACTAAGAAAATCAGAAATTTAATATAAACAAAATTACAAATTAAAGTTATAATATTAAAATAGCGAAAAAGAAAGATTTAAAATATATATATAATATAAGAAATATAAATTTTAAAAGTTGAGCTGTTTTAAGATTTACACCTTATCTATTATCATTTAATTTTACAGTCTCAAATATATAAAACTGAAAAACCCTTTTTATAATCACCATCATATGCTAATCATTATTATCATTTTTAGATTTAGATTATTAGAAAATAAACTGTATATTATCATATATCACATGATATTTATTAAAAGTTATATTTAATTCTAGTCAAAACATTAAAAATTATCATATTAGAATTTTGTGTAATACAAAATTACCTTTTTTAGTAATACACATTTTACAAAAATATATTTTTTTTATTTTAAAATTATCATAATTAAATATCAGTGTAACCTTTAATTTCAAAAAGAAAATTTTATAATTCTGGTCAGAATTATAAAATCATGATTTATACTATAATTACACTTATCTATAATTATCAATTTGGCTAACCAAATGTAGTAATTATAGAAAATCTAATAGAACCCTGAATAATACTGATATAACTCATAGGTTTACATAGAGTTTATATAAAATTATTTTTTAAACTAATAAATTGAATTTGTATAGATCGGCCTAATTTTAAATAATTCATAAATTATGTTTATGTAGAATTAACTAAAATAAGAACTAAGAATTTAGAGATGCGTAGTATTAATCATTTTTTAACTATAAATAAAATCTCGTCAACTTGAAATGTTTACATTTATATTTTAAATTCCATTTGTTTAAATTATTTATTCAAAATTTTTTACAATTATTTCTGGGTTATTTTAATTATATTAAACAATATGTATTAAATTAAATTCAATAACTGATAAATTTATGTTATATTAATTCTAATTATATTAAAATTATATCGTAATAATTGTTATTTTCCACTCTTTAGCTTTTAATACATCAATACATTTCAGGTTTTTCTTATAAAAGATAACGAATTACTTGTATTATTACAATAAAAATAAATTTTCATATTATATAGATAGAATTTATATCAATTGCTTAGTAATTCAGTCTTAATTCCTGTAATTTTCCATTTTATATCACTTGTATTTTTGATACACATTTTTTTATCTAAAATACTTCTAAAATACTAAAATTTATATTTTAAAATACTGAATTATGATAGGTTAAAAATATTTAAAAAGCATTTTAAAAGTATCTATATGTTACCAAAGTATTATATGCAAAAAAGTTATTTATATATGTGAAGTAGTGATTAAAATATTAAGAAAATGTGATAAGAATTATATTAACTATTATGCTAGAAGTAAAGGATATATACAAGTTGAAGATCAAAAAACATTATATGATTATTTTAATATTAATAAAAAATATGATAATTCTAATGATTCTAATAAAGAGTGAGAAAATTAGAGTAATGAAATTGAAAACGCAATAGATGATGATAATATTATTGATATTGACAAATGTGATGATAAGCATAATGAAGATAACAATTCTAATTTTAATATTGATCTTGATTTTAATAAAAACATTGATTTAACTTCAAATAAAAGAAGAATTTGTAGTGGGCTTTATTCTACTAAATTTTAGTATATATTAATTGTACTCTTACAAATTTTGGTAGTTCTCATCGTGTAGAAATAATTGCAAAAAAAATATAGAGGAATAGATTTAAAAAGGGATTTTTTAGAAAGAAACTTAATTTAAAAGAAAAAAGAATTCTCAATCATCAAATTTATGCAGAAAGTTAATGGTTTATTGATCATCAAAGTAATTAAATTATTTTAACATTTTTATATTATTTGTTAGTTTATTTATTTTGTTATATTAAAACTTGTATTTTTTAGGTGATTTTATACATGTTAAAGATATATTAATAAAAATTGTCATAATAAAATCTATTGTACAGCATGTTTATCATTAAGTTCAAATACTTTATTAGCAAATTGAATTGTTGTACCAATACCAAAATCTTAAAATATAAAATATATTCCTTTATTTTAGTTTAAAAATGAATCTATGAAAAAATATTTACAAAATGTTAATTTACTTAAGATTTGAAATATTATTAAAGAAGATGAGTTATCTAATACTAATTCAACTATATGACTTACTTTAGCTGATAAAGTAATGAAAGGTATTTTTAATAATAAACCTGTATTTACTGGACTATATTATATAATGATCCAAACATATTTATGAAAAGAAAAAGATATAAGAAGATAAAATTCTAAATATTTAAAGAAATTCACTAATTTTCTTGTAATTTTAGCTAGTTTTAGTAATCAAACTTTAGATCTTTTTTAGCAAAATTTAAAAGAAAGAAGTATTCAAAATATAAGGTATTTTTATATATTTAATTAATAAACTTATACTTTAATTTCTATTAATAATAAATTTTATTTTAATAAAGATGATTAAGAAAAAATGAAATTGATTGTCTTATTGACCCAGAGCTTTGTTATGAGAATATTGCAAGATTTAAATGATTAATAGATACTTTGCATTATGATAGTCCTATCATTGTAATAACTAATAATACAAAATTAAACTTGGTCTTTATTATTCATCACAATTCAGCTGCATTATTAGATTAACATTAAATAATAATAAAATAAAAATTACTGATTATGATCAAATTCCTCAAGTAATTAATAAAATCAAAAGTGAAAAGGTACTTGTAAGTAGTATTTGAACATATATTTTACAAGTGAGTTAAATTATATATTAGCATTAATTATTTATATTATTTATTAATTTATTAATTATATATTTTATTTAAATATTTAGATTCTACTGCTTAAATTTCCTCTGGTAGTAATTGCATTAATTCTAAATAATAGTTCAGATAAAGCATCTACAATTACTGATTTTCACTGGAAACTTTTAATTGATATCACATCTCAATTAAATTTACACATTTTAAATATTAGGTCTGATAGTGCACTAGTTAAATTTCAAATCCAAATAATTATTCAAAGTATGATAACAAATAAAAAATTACAAATGATTGATATAAGGTTTGAGGTAACTTTTAGTTAATTTTACCATCAATCAGACCTGTTATAAGAGTACAGAATCTAAAACATGTTAAAAAACTTATGAAATATAATTATGTCTGATGTAAGAGTTTTATCAATTAGGAGATTAACTGCACGTTTTGACTATTTTTTACATATTTCTCAATATTCAGATTCTGTAATGTATAAACAAGATGTTATAAAACTTGATCATTAGGATAATAGCGTCATATATAGAGCTTTTTGTTTTTCAAATTTAAGAAATGTGTATTTGCAACATTTAAAAATCCTGAAGATGAAGAAATATATGAATTTTTTGTTTTATTATTTGTTTTCAGTAAATATTATTCTATTATTATTATTTTAATCAAAATATATACTAATTAAAATTCATTATTATTAAGGTGAATTGATTGATTATTATTTTAATTGATAAATTAGTCTATTAGAACATATTAAAATAGCTATAATATCTTTTTTTTCCTTCATTTTTAGTGTTAACATTTATTGAATTTATCAGAAATTATCCTGATTTCATTAATTTAAAAAAGAATATTTTTAGCTAATCTATTCTTTTATTACTAATAAAATCAATGATTCTTTTAATAAAAATTCACTGTAAATATTATTCATCAGTTTCTTTATTTCTATAGATATATAGATCCGAAGTTATTAAGCATTTTTTTAGTATTGCTTGTCAAATAAATTTAGACTTTACTTATGCCAAACTTATTCATCTGATTTCAAAAGTTGCTCAATGTTCTAAGATACTAAGAAATAATAATCTTATATATGAAAAAGAAAAATCAGTACGTGAAGGTATAATAAATCTACAAAATATAGTATAATTTTACTTAAAATTCAATAATTAATGTAAAATTTTCATAATATTTAGGATACCATTATGATTATAATAATATGAATTTAAATATTGAACAACTCAATATTTTATGTGATTGGCCAATTGATTCTACTATATGTGATTATTTTAAAGATTCTTTTAGTATTATGATAGAATTATGTGAGGTATTAGATATAGATGTTCTATCAAAAAATAATTTAAACTTACCTATATAGAACTGATAATTTTAATTTAAAATCAGGTTAATAATGATATTTTAATAGATAATGAAATTATTAATAAATTACTAATAGATGAAGATCTACTTTTAAAAGAAAATGATATTTTTATAGCTATTGAGATAGCTTCAAAACACACTAGGTTTCTTTCTTTATCAGATAATAATATAGTTAAATTAGATATAAGAGATCTTGCTAAACAAGTAGATGTGATAGTACAAAATACTCATTCTAATTTAATTTTAATAAATAATGATACATTAACATATCAAAAACTTTTATATAAATTATATTTATTTATTTATTAAATAGAGAATTATAAATTCTATTTATTTAGATGATGTTAATTTAAATATTCAGTATACTTTAATGGATAGCCAATTAAATTTAGTTAAAATGATAAAAATTTGTGTTAAACATGAAGCTTACTTCTCAAAAAAGTTAGAACGTTAATATTGTGATAAATAAATTGCAAATAATAGCGATCTAGAAATAATAAATCTAAATAAAACAGGTCATATGATTGTGCATCTTATTAATAATAAAAATTCAGAAACACAATTTATTACATAGCATAAAAAATGTTGGTTAATAAATAGAAAAATCATAGCAATAAAGCTTGTTTATCAATATAGAAAAGATTTGATAAAAAATAAAAATATGAAAAAATGAAATGTTAATTCAGTTATTTATAAAAGTAGGTTTTATATAATAAATAATTTAAAATCTATATTATTTTTTAAAATATATATTTTTTAATAATTTTAAAATTTAAAATTTATTTAATTTTTACAGTTCTGAATATTGACTGTGCCAATATTAACACTGATAATCTCTTATCAAATAATCAATTTGTTATTCAATTTTTAGTTCAACACTTTATATTACACATGTTATAGTAATGTATTATGAAGTATATAATTATCATTCTTATCATGTAGGAGAGGTAACAAATCTTGATAGTTTATCATATATTACACTTCATACATTTTTACCAATTCATTATAACATTTTTTCTGGTCTAAAATCAAAAATTTTACGTACTATCAGCCTGATAATATAGTATATCATTTAACAAATATAGATATTATTGTAATTGAAAGTTTTTTAAATTTGAAAGACTTTAAAATTTTATATATAATTACTTTAATCATGATATAAAGGAGACAATAGTTAAAGGGTAGAAAAAATATCATTAAAATTTATATGTAATATGATTTAAATTAGTGATAAAATTAATATAATAAAATTTAAATGGTTTATTGTCCTTATAAATCACATTTTAAATTTATGTATTTTAAGTAATTTTTTTAACTAAAATTTAAGTTTGCATAGCATTATTATGAAAAAAAGTTGCATAAAGTTAATAGTAAATGCATACTGATTATTTGTAAGTTATATTAGTATTATTCAGGATTTTAATCTGACTATATAAAAAAAGACAGTTTAGTATTCTACTAGTTAATAATTTAATATCATGCTAACTTATTAAAATAATCTATAAAAAACTAATTATAAATATTAAAAATGTAAAAAATATAGTATTTTCAAATAAAATTATATTAAATATAATTCCAGTTAATGAATAGTAACCTAAAATTACTATTGTATAATTTATTTATTTTTAATATTAAATATTATTTAGATATCTGTATTATATTTGAAATATTTATTTCAAGTATATCAATATATATATTCTAAATTAATCCTTAAATTAGTATTATAAATCAGTTTAATTTAAAAAAAAAATAAATCTTAGTCAAATTAAACTAATAAGATTGAATAATACAAGATCAGTTTAATCTAAAGAAAAATAAAAATCTGGTCTTTTAGATTAGACTAAACTTAATATTAGATTTAGACTATATTCAATTTCAAAAACTAAAACAAAACTAAATTGAATAATTAAATATATTTTATCGAATACTAATTTTTTTACAAATTATCTATTTTTTTATTAGACAGTATATTAGTTCAGATTTAATTAAACTAATTAGAATATATCTAATTAGACTATTTTAAAGTTACTGAATAAAACTTAGAGGTTTTGCAAGTCATCTAAATGAAAAAAGATAAAATTTAGCGAAATTATATTAAAATCTTATTAAAAAATCTGCAAAATTCTGAAAAAGATAAATGCGAAACTAAATTAAAATCTAAATAAAAATTAGCGAAATTATAGTTTAGATATTTTACCAAATCTAAAATGAGTTTAGACAAATAACCTTAGACTGGTCTAATTTTATAGCTCAATTTACATATATTTAAAAATTGATATAATATTATATATTTAATTCTTATATTAAAAAAGTAAATAATAGTTTAAAACTAATCAATATAATTAGAAAACTCTAATTTTACAATAAACAAGTTATTTAATATGTATTTTGAATTATTATCTCTTTGAAAATAGATATAATTTATAAAAAAAAATAGTTATTAATTTATAATAAAAACTATCATTAATTAAATTAATATTATTATTTTCAGTTTTTATAATAGTTTCATATTTACTTTTAACATATAATCATATAAACTTAATATAGCTTTTCAATTTTAGATTAATAGTATTTGCTTTATTTTTAATTTCTTCTAAATCTGAATTATTATCAGATTTTAAATCATTATTATTATTATCATTATATTCTGAATTTAGAGATTTTGTTAAAATAGAATTATTGTAAACTTCCATTATAATTACTTTTATTATAGTCATATTATTCTATATAGTCATTCTAGTTAAATATTCTGAATTTTTATTATATAAAACCTATTGTTTATAGTTATATTCTACCTATAATCACTATTACCCTATATTTCAAAATATATTATAATAAAAATATTATTTATAATTACATAATCATGTAAAAATTTAATATAAAAACTTTTATAATATTACAAAGCTTTTTTTAATACAGTCAACCCTCTTTAAATACATACTCTCTAAATGTATATACTATATATTTCTCTCTAAATGCACATTGTGACGAGTAAAATTTTAGATAGATTTAATTGGTAGAATATTAAGTCCATTTTATTGCCATGTAGATCTTTTATGAAGATCAAT